CTAGAGAGAATCTGTTCGTCCAGCCGGTCCTGAAACCTGGAGTCGCCAAACCTTCTTTGGAAGTGTCTTTTACAATCTTCCCAGTTTGACCAACGTTGGCGGTTTTGTCGGTACCAGTGAGCCGCCATGTCTGTTAGAAGGAAAGGCATTGCTACGAGAAGCTCTTCGTCTGTCATAAACGATGCTTCTCTACCTTCCTCAACTCGCCACAAGAAATTGTCTATACTGGAGTTTTTCTGTCCATCGAATTTTATTTTCCAGCTTTCGACAATTCTTGTCACGTCTCTAGGTGATCGATTCTGATTTCGCGTATTGGGAAGAAATTTTTGTCTCGCGTACCCGTCTGTTGTTTGTTTCTCTTGTGAGGCTGAGGTCGGGTTCACGTAAGGAAACAAACTGGTCGGGGGGTACAATGGGTCATTTTGCCCATATTGCGCTTGAGAGTACCGGTCTATTTTCTGTTGGTACCCTTGTTGAGGAGGAAACCGCCCCTCATTTCCACTCCAAGTCAAGCCTGAAAACGATACGTTCGTGTTACCGTGAGTAACCGATTGAACCGTAGGTGGCGCTGACACGTTTGTTGAAAACCGCGGTTGTGTGTTTTCTATAGTCGGGTACACATGTCCGTGATTGTCAAAGTGTCTATTATGGTACGTTTGTGTCGACTGTCTTGTGACTGTTGTCGTTGTGTGACATGTCGGGCATGTAGTCGATACTATCTGTGGAGTCTGGTTTTGTACCATTGTTGTCAGGGCCTTAATTTGATTCTGCATTGCAAAAATTGCTTCTCGTAACTCTTGGGTTTCGGTTTTTTCATTGTAGGCTGACTTTTGTTTTACCCCTTCCCCTTCTATTCTTATTTGCGTATTTACATTTGGGAAGTGGTAGTTTGGGGGTGGAAGAGTGTTGTGAAAATTTTCTGGTCTGAAGTTTTGTTCAATGTTTTCGTACTTGTTTTCTGTAAAATTATTTCCCCCACCACTTGTTATTGGGCTTTCAGGAAGAGGAAAATTTCTCGCGGAACCGGGAGTATTAGGGGTTGACGTCTGTATTACCCCTGCTGGTATAACGAACGCTTCGTCATTTTCGTACCATGGTACATCCGTATGTCCTGTCATTCGCGCGATTAACCTTTCTATGCGCGATTGTAATTCTTCGTAAGAACCTGAGGTGTTACAATCGTGTAACCGCAATTGTTCTTGCATTTCCTCAAAAGCGCGGACTTTTGTTCTTAATTCGTCTATTAGACTGGTTCCCGTTTTACTTTGGGTTTCGGATGTGTTCGCGGTTTCTTCCGATTCTATTTCCTCCCCAGATTTCTTTAATTCTGCTTCTGGGTTTCCCTGATTGGGTGTGTGGGTGGATCTACTATCGTCCGACATTTTTATTGACAAAACAACTCAAAGAAAATTTAACACAATTACAATTTTCAAGAAATTTCACTAAAATTCCTAAATTCTTGAAAATTTCCAAAATTTCCTTAAATTTCAATGTTCTAATTAAGGAATTTGATATTAATTTTTCAAAACACAAAACAATTGTTTTAACTTTTGGTTTAATCACTTTATACACTACCAAATTTGAAAAATTATAAAATTCTCTAAAATTTTCAAAATTTCCAAAATTTCCAAAAATTTCCGTAATTTTGGAATTTGCTTTTTCTGTTTGGAAATATTTATTTATTATTAAACTCTGTTATTGGGATAATTTATGTGATTATTTTTCTAAATTTCATAAATTACCGATAAATTACCCAATATTTCTGGTAAATTTCCGGTACATTGTTTTATTGACACTCGGTTCGGAAATTTTAACCGCATTCTGAAAAAAAATTTCAATTTAAAATATTCAAAGTTCATTGGAATCACTACTTTTCTTAAATTTCCAATGTTTCCGGTAATTTTTCCACTGTTTCACAAATTTCTAGAGGAAAAAAAATTTTATTTTCACGAAATTTTAACAACTTTACTTTATTAGATAAATTTCTGTCATTAAAGGTCGTTTTACTTAATATTGTCTAAAATTTCATAAATTACCGGAAAATTTCACGGAAATTTTCACTGCACTATTTTTCATGACACTCGATTTGAAAATTTTTCCGTAAACAAATTAATTTGTTACTGAATATTTTTAAAATTACCGAATTTTCCAGAAATTTCATAAATTTCCACACTATATTGGTAACTTTTCCAAAGTTTTCTATTAGTTACCAAAAAAAAACATTTTGAAAATTTATGGAGCTCGAGTATTAGCCATAGTTGAGAACTTGTCAAAAATTTATTTACTTGTACTTTTAAATTTATTTCCACTATTATGACTGTCTGATTTTATTTTCTCTAATTCCCTATTTTCACTTCTATCCCGGTGTGTCAATATTCCGAGAATTTTTCTTTAAAAAAAATCACTTTTTCTTATTTTTCTAGAAAAAAAATTCCTTGTAATTGTCGCGATACTACTATATTACTCTATTCGCGAGGGATAGTAGGGGACACTGCTGGTACATTTTCTACATGCTGAAAATAAATGCATTTTAAGCTACTACAAACATAATTTAAAAAAAAATTTTCATTACTATATGTAAGCAATAAAGCAAGAGAAAAAAAAATTTTCTTTTTCTGTCAGACCAGATAATTGTCAATCAAATAAATTTTAAATTTTTCTTTTAAGTAAAAAAAATTTGACTTTACTCACCAGTAGTGTAGATTCTCGATTTACACAAAAACAAATTTTCTTTTAATTAAATTTTCATTTTAAACTTTTCACTAATGAAATCCAATTAAAATTTTCTTTTCATAATTGAAAACACTATGAGTCACTTCTCTCTCAGCTATGCTGATCCGCGAGTTGGGCGCCACTGTTGTAACGATATTCTCTATCTCTCTCTATGAATTTCCTATATTCCCGTCGAACATGTGCTCAACGGAAAATTCTATAGAGAAGACGCTACAAAAATGGCGTTAATCATACACTTTTCCGATTTATAAATTCCACGCTTTGAATTTATAAAAAGACCCACGGCGATCCGTTTAGAGGTTTCTCCTCAGCGCCAGGTAAAAGATTACCCGGATCCCCGTTGACCGTTTCGAAGTGTGAACTCTACCCGGGCTAGCTCGACTTACCGCGAGTTCACACATTACACTAAGCGAAACATTTATTTTATTCTCAGGACGTGAGTTACACACACAGGTGAGAGAGAACGACACACTACACTGAATTTAATAAATGAAACACTGCAATTTAAATAATTTTTATATAAATTATTTCTAATTCTGAATTTATTAAACTCAATTATTACACTCGAGAAATCCACACTACTAGTTGGTGAGATCAGCCGGCGAGAACAGGTTGGCGTCCATTTTCCTTGCCATGCGGTCGGCCAATATTATCCTGTTTATTCTCGGTTTTTTCCGTATAAATTCACCACAAAGATGCCAGATTTCGGGAAGAACTGTCCACTAACCTTTGATCTTGTTCAATATCTTCCGATAATCCATACTTTCGGTTATACCGGCAAAACAATTAAAAAAAGATAAATAATCAATTAATTCTCTGTCTTAATCTGTGAGTAGCCAAACTCGAACTGATTTGCAACAGCAGGGTCGCCTGACCCAGTGACCTGCGCAATGCGTGTGGCCCCTGAGGGTTGACATCCTCGGTATACTTCCGTGTCAGATCCCAATTAATATCGGATGTGATTATTAATTATGTGAATAATTAATAATATAAAGTCCAAAAATGTGAAGATCTTCTTCATTGAAATCTTCTTTCTCACCCGACTGATCAAATTTTATACAATAACAAAATAATAATTTGAGCAAATGTGGATTTCTCTATTCATTGAGAAATATATTATTGCTCTTTTTCAGTAATAATTTGTACATGTTTTCTTTTACAAATTATTATAAACAAAGTACATGAAGTAAGATTTATATATAAAAAAATACAATAATTATTTTTTATAAAACAATAACCAATAAAGAAAAATATAAAGGTTGAGTCCGGGTTTGGCTATTATTTTTCTTACTTTTTATCGAAAACGCGATATTTAATTAATATTAAAAATTCTACTAATAATTTAGTTTTCGGCGAAACCTCTGAAAACTGTCTTTAAACGGGATAATTAAATTACCACGTTACAAACTATAAATACTAAAGAAATCCTGCATTATCTCTTTTTCTAAATTTGTCAATTTAGTATATGTTGCTTCTCTTACACCTGCTATAAAATTCATTCCTGTCAAAGGTGCGAGTGACGAGAAATAATAATAAAGAATATTGCAATTCTTTAAATAGTTATAAAACAATCTAAGTCGTTAAAGTTACACAAGTGCGACCAAAACGAACTATTTCAAATCAAATCAAAACCAATTATAACGACTAAGCTATAATCATCGATTTATCCGACTTCATTGCTAAAAGTAAGTAAAAGAATTGTAAACTTGTATCATTATTGTATAATCATTACTATATAATTATTATTTAATCAATAAATGTTACAAAAGGGAATATTTGACTTATTATTGTAACGCAAAACCCGTAGTTTTGACAAGTGACCACGATCCTACATAAAAATAAATATCAGGCTTTATCAACCTGATTAATCAGCCTTATTACATTTAAGTAAATAAAATTCATTTTATTTAAAAACCACGCCTAGTTCGGAACGTAACATATAAAGAGATTATTATAAAATTATGATTTAAAATTATTTGGAAAAATAATGAATTTTTAAATTTGTTAATTTCTAAAAAAAAAAATTCAAACGAAGTCAAAATATTTGTGACCGATTTTATTTTATGTACATTGAATTTTTCTCAAAAAAATAATGTAAAAATAATGAAGATTTAAATCATTTTATTGGTGTAGATAAAATTGTGGGTGATGTCTTCCCTTAATCTAAAAGGGGTTGCGGAATTTTTTTATAATATATTACTTACTTATGTATACATGTGTAGAAGCTGTATAAACATTAGAATTAACATTGCAATTTGTCTTTACAGATATATTCTCCTCATTTCCTATTCCTCAAATATCTACTTCTGAAATACCCACTGTTAGAATGCCTTCTGCTTCTTCATCCGAAGATAATTTATCGGGAAAAAGAAGATAATAAGAAGGGAAAGACTTCTAGTGCTGATGGATGTGAGGAAGCACATCTTCAAAAACAAGAAATGGCTATGCTACAACGAATTAAAAAAATTAATTGAAAAATAAATATCAACAAATATTGTTTTTTCGGTTCTCAAATAAAGTCTTCAATTTATATTCTTTATATTAAGGTGTCTAATAATTTTTGTTCTTTTAATTCCCGGTTATTCGCGATTTAAGATATTAAAAATTTTTTTTACTACACATTTTAACAAATATACTTTCTTATTATAAAAAAGTTATTTTTATTGTGAAATTAAACCTTACAAAAACAGTACTGGCCACCTACAATTTTATTAAACGTTTTCGATAATAAAACTATTATTTATCTAACCAAATTAATTTTAATTTGTCAATTGTGAAACGAAGATCATAAAAAAGAAGATTGGACAAGAATAAATAATCTAATAATAACAAATTGTTAAAAATAAAGAAAATTGATCGTGGAATTAAAAATTTGGAAATCTTACTTTGTTTGGAATCACTTGAAATTTGTTAGTTAGGGGTTTTTGTGATCGCTGATTAAGAATCGAACCTTTTGTTTTCAGAAATTAAAAATGGATCCAATATAGCGGCCAAAATTTATAATTTTTAGAAATGGAGGTAAATTTTTTATCAGCAACCCCAAAAACCTCCGAATAATAAACAAACTATTTCGAGAAAATTTAAAAAAAAATGGGGAAAACAGAAATGACACGAAGGTAAGTAAGAAAGGTTTCCCCTTTTTGTTAACATACAAAACAATAATTCAAAGTAATAGTATAAATGGAGAAAAGATCGCCCATTTAAATGGGAAAACAGAAATGACACGATTTTTTTCCTGACTGTCGAAATAAGCAATAGAAAAATGTGTAAAAAGAAAGTAGTTGATTCAATCGGTTTGATATTTTTGCATTATTTCTATTGCACGACTGAAAAAAATTATTTGTTCCTCGTCGCTCAGAATGTCCCATTCATGAGTAAATAAGTTAAAAAGAAGATCATCTACATTAATCGAATATTTTTGGTTTTCAGTCGATGTTATTTCTTTGAAATCTCGTCTCGATTGCTTTAAAGTTTCGGTTAGAGTACTGTCTGGCATTTGCATAGACATTCGTCTGGCGAACCGATCTAATGGAGGGACAATCTTTGCTTTTTTTGATAAATCATTTGTGGGAATGTTTTGTATTGTAAAATGTTTTCCTAGAATAGATGAAGCATTGAGTAGATTTATGCGAGAATTTGAAGATTGTAGTTGAGATGGCTGCTCATAAAATGATGAAGAAAACGTAGACGCTTGCGCTGGAGGCAGTGGTGTAGGACGAGTTGTAGAAATTGTCAAAGATTTTTGACCAGTTGTAGAATTCGGTGAAAATCGGTTGAAAATGGACGTTTGTAATGGAGATAATGAGGTTGAACATTCTCGACGAGTTGCAGAATTCACCAAAGATGTAGCCGATGATGATCGGTAAAGAGAGGATGACGTTTGCGATGTCAACAATGGGGTAGAACATTCTCGTAAAGTTGTGGGAAACGTCCTAGGTTCTTGACGAATGGAGGAATTTGAGGAAGATGCTGCAGGTGATATCAATGAAGAGACTGGCCCTAAATCAATTCGAGAAACTTCCGATGATTCTACTGATAACCGACGAGGAAAGAATGATGTAAAATCAAGGGTAGGTGTATTTAAATCATTCGGTGTGAGATCGTCATCAATTGTAATGATATCGTTATCGTAATTAAGAATCTCATATTCACTGTATTCTGTCTCCTTTTTAATGGTATCTTCATTTTCGAAAACATTGATTTCTGTAGAATTGTCCGCATCACAAGATGTTGAGGCATATGATGTTGAGGATGTTTCCATACTGTTATGAAAATCTTTTACATTATGCCAAGATGAATTTGGTACATTGTAGAGACTTGCATCTTTAAAAAAATAATATTTGCTTTGGTTATAAATTGTGATAATTTCCTATTATTAAATGTTATTATATTTTTACAATATTAAGTAATAAAAATTCAAATTCACATTTTCTAAAACAATTTGATATTATCATTTAAAATTATAGATCAACGGGCAATATTTATTTTATATTTTAATGCAAAATTACATATTAGTATAAACTAGCTAAAAGAAACGCGCGTGGTATCTATAATTTTTTATGAAAAATTAAAAATTTATTTTTATTTGACGGACACTTATTGGGATTTTGATCTCACAAAAATAATATTGTTTTTGTAATCGTTACTGTATTACTATTTCAACATTATGGTGTTATAATAATATAATACCTATTATTGCACAGTCAATATGACCTTTAAATTTTGTACTCAAATAAAGTTTATATGCTACTATCATATTTACATAAAAGTATTTTTATTGACAGAATTTTCAATTAAAAGAATTTCTATATAACAAAAGTCGTATGTAATAAAACTTTTATTAAATAAAAGAAAATTTTCTGTTAATAAAAATATTTATAAGTGAATATTCAGATAAACAATAATAATATAATTAATATATAATAATATTATAATAATAATAATATTAATAATAATATAATTATTATAAATTATATTACATTATATTATATTATTTGTAATTAAACAATTAAAAAAAATTATTCAATAAATTCTTTACAATATTAATTAATTAAAATTTTTTTTTAATCTTGATGAAAACAGAAAATTGATAATAAAAAAATATATTTATAAAAAATGATTTGAGAATAATGAAATAGAAAGAAATATCTTTCTAATATTCACGTGATTTATATTTCGCTCTAAACAGGAATCGGGATGAGAATCTCGACTTCCGGTAATGCGCGAGAAATTTTTTGAAATTGACCAATCAGAATTTAAAGACTCCCCTCTATGTGCCCTTAACACTAAAGCTTCTGTGCCAGCGTCTCTCAGTTCGCCGTACATTATAATCAAGTTATCACCGACGGAATAGCTCAGTTGGTTGGTGCTCCAGGCTGTGCGGGTTGAGCGAACGAGGTTCGCGCCCCCCGTCAGCCGGGGATTTTTCCGACACGTGAGCTATTCTGAGCGGGAGGTTTGACGTCTAGGTGCGACGGTATACATTGTCGATTAATTGTCCGATGTATACCGCCGAAACTAGACAGTCAATAAACCGGTTGTACTCAGAAGAGGTTTTTCTACAGTTTCCCTCTTCTCTGGCGAGAAAACCCAATGACGGGTGGTTCAGGCAAAATGAGAGTACTCCTATCTTCGAAAGTCGCACTGTAGGCGCATTAGGTTAAAAATTTGCAAAAATTTGTAGAATGGTTATGCTTCATCCATAAAAAGTATTTCTCGGGGACTCTTGTCGAGTGCGTAATAGGCCAATAGGGCAGGAGTATAAACGAAAAAAAAAATCAAGTTATCAAAACACTGTAACTGAAAAAAGTGACAAAAATTTTTAAATAAAAATGAACAACAACAATCGTGGATGTTGCCAACATATAAGTATTAAGAAATGTTCCTATATTCAGGGACCTCAGAATGCCAAGCCGAGACCGATGAAAATAATTTGTACAACGGGGGAAACGTCAAAATCTATTCGACAAGAGTTTCTGAATGCAAAGAAAAATGCGGAACACAGCAAACAATTGTTAAACATTTGGATGTCCACCGACAAAACAAAGATGCAGCAGAAAGAAATCTCCGACACAAGGAAACAATTAATATTGAGACAACAGAAGGGCGAGAAAAATTTGAAGCTAGCACATAGTCGAGGAGTTCCTGTAATTATTTCAACATCGACAGTGACAAAGGTGTTACGCATGGAGCAGGAAAGCGAACTGTCAGTGACCAGCGACAATCGAGCCGATTAGCTCTCCAGACATACCCACTGAGTGTACGCAACGTGTCCATATATTACCAGAACGTTAGAGATATGAGAACGAAGCTTGATGAACTGTGTAAGTCTGTCTCGCTCTCGACTTATCAAATAGTCGTCTTTACTGAGACATGGTTAACGGCGGATATTTATGATGCGGAGTTGGGTTTCTATGATTTCGATATATACAGGTTTGACAGAAATAAAAACACTAGTCAATATTGTAGGGGGGGTGGTGTATTGATTGCTGTAAAAAATATTTAAATAGCTCTCTAATATTATCTCCTCTCAATAATGTTGAACATTTATTTGTAAAATTTAAAATTGGTCATGCTTTATATTTGTTGGGTGTTTTTTACATTCCACCAAATTCGTCTGAACAAATTTATGTTGAAGTTTTTGATGCTATTGAAATTGTTTTGGAAGAAATGCCATTGGCGAAAGTTTGTCTGATGGGAGATTTTAATATGCCATATGCTGTTTGGACTGTGGACTATTGCGCTGAACCTTCAGACAATCATATCCCTTCCTGTACAGCAAAACCAGGTTCCTTGAGTTTACATAGAAATATTACAGGTACTGTTTCTGACACAATTGATTTTTTAAATTTGTTTCAAATTAATAACTTTGTCAACGAACACGGCTCTTTGCTTGATTTGATTTTTTGTAATTTTCAAGATTATTTTTTGGTATTATCTTGTACTGAATCTTTGCTTTCAATTGACAGCTATCATCCACCATTGTTTTTGAAAATTTATGAAGATAATATTGTAAATAATAAATCTCCATCTTCGAATTATATAAAATATGATTTTAAAAATGCAGACACTACTGGAATTTCTAAGGGAGAGTCGGTAGTGGCGAGACACGTTTTGTTTTTTTGTTATAGCACTCACATTTTCAAGATCATCAAGTCTGTATATATATCCATGGATAGGTGTGACTCTATACTGCAAATTTAAGTTATACAGTTACAGAACAGATATTGGAAAAAGAAGTTATTGCCGATTTACGATAATGTCTCGCGACTACCGACATAAAAAATCGTCCGTAGTGGCGAGACACTATCTTAAAATCAGAGTCTTCATCGTTCAAACGTCACAAAAACAAAGGAATCAAAGAGAAAGAGTATAATAATTGATGCCTTTAAATCATAATATTGTTTCATTCAATCATAAAAATACAGGCAAATATTTTTCTCATTGTGAGCCGCTAATCCATGTCACAGTTATTAAAAACATATAAGCTTTTCTTCCTGTTCATCTTTTTCAATTTAAACTATAGTTATGAAAAATATT